ATATGAATATTTGAAAAATCATCACAAGTCAAATTAAGTCAAAAGTTCTATACCAAAAAAAAATCAAAAATTTTCTCTTAATCCCCTAATATAATGAGAAATATAAAGGAAAATAAAATATTTTGAAAAATAAGTAATAATTAAGCAATTGTTTTTGATCAAAAATGACACGAATGTTAAGATTTTGACAGGAAATTTTTTACAAAAAAATTCAACAAATGTCCTAATTTAATGAGAAACATGGTGGAAAAAATAAAATTTTGAAAAATAATTTTACAAAAGGTTTTGTCAAAATGCCATTAAAAGTTCACATTTTGACAGATTTTATACTTTTTTATTTTAAAAATGTTCTCTAAGTGCCATAATTTAATGAGATACATGCAGGAAAAGATAGAATTTTGAAAAATAATCCTACAAAACATTTTGTCAAAATATTGTCATTTTTTACCATAAATGACACAAAAAGTTCACATTTTGACAGAGAATGTTATACAAAAATGTTTTAAAAAGTGTTCTCTAAATGCCCTAATTTAATTAGAAACATGCAGGAAAAGAAACAATTAAAAAAAATAATTTTACAAAAATATTTTCAATATTTTTTAGTTTTTGACCAAAAATGTAATGAAGGTATCAGGGCAGTCCTCACTGCATTTTACTGCATATACAACGTTGTTCTGTTTTAAGTGAAGTATTTTGTCCTTTGGATGAACCAGTCTTTGTCTGAGTGAGTTGTTTGTCTGGTGTTGGTGGGTTTAAAATAGACTGGAATTTGGTGATGGTTAAGTTTTTCGGAGGTCCCGGCAACATAAGGATTGACAATGTTGTTCCGTTTGTTTGGTGGCTTTGGTAAAGGCCCAATTGGGGTAGGTGCAGGACTTTAAAGCTCCTTTGCTCCACTGTTCCTTAGCCTTGTGAAGGCATGTGTTTGTATTTTTTCAGTACTAAAAAATACCCACAGTGAGCTTGTCACTCACTCTTTAAACAAAAGGATCAGTCTTGACTCCTTTATATTATATATATTATATATATAATCACTGTGAGTAATGTGTAGAGTAACACTGCCCCTAAAAATCGGAATACTTTTTATTTTTGCACACTAGGGGGCACTGTTTGTTCAGGTTAATTGATATAACTTCAGGGGAACTACTGGTCCCGCTATTTCTCCTTAGCCTAACATTTCTAATTATAAATTCTAATTAAAATGAAATTTGTACACGTTATAAAATGTTCTCAGAAACAGTCCGACTGCGACCATTATCTCATTAAAAAGCAGTATTTATTTTAAATGCAGTGTACTTTATATTCATTGATATTTATATTGATTTAATTTAAATTCCGCTCAATGTGATTTTACTAACTTTAGTAAGTAAACAGACAAAGAAAGTATTTATTAAGACGTTGTAAGTTTCTGGTTGCAGGTCTGTGCTGCTTCAGATTGTAGTGGAATATTTGTTCTGTTACCTCAGAGCAGCCTTATGGTAAACATTATTCATTAGTCTCTTTTATGAGGATCGTCTGTATGTGTTTGTTTTTCTGTTAACTCATTAAAGACGTCTGTTTTATGCACACAGCTAGCAGACCAGGGAAGTTTGGCTTTGTGGTCTGTAGCCTGGAGATCCTAGGAGGACCTGGTGCACAGCTTGATTTCACTGCAGAACTGCTTTGTTGTAGAACTGTTGTTGTGCTGCAGAAATCCTGAGATTAGATTTTAGGAACGAAGGCAGACTTCTGGCAAGAAATCAAAGCAGCTCTTGAGGGACTACAGTATCTGTTTTCATTTAATGTACAACGCTATCTATGTGCAACCAGCGCTGGAAAAGTGCCTTATACATAGATAGTAGGCTTTTTCCACAGATGTACCTGCCCATTTTATTTGTCAAAGACTTATTTCAGTGACACGAATCCTGGAAAATGGTGCGTTCCCAATTGTTGGTGCAGTTTTGAAAGCTAATCTCTGGGATTTAGCACATATTTTGACGTTAATTACAAGATAGTTGAGTCTTTGGGTTGTTGACAACCTCAGACATTTTGTCTGACTGCAGGGAGTCTACTTTAGTGAGAGACAGGTTTAAGGGTACTTGCTGTGTTTTTTTGTAACTCTAGTATGACCAATCTCACAGAGGATATTTTGTGAAATAGAGAACTTCCACACACAGTAAAAACACATGGAGATGAGATGTTTTCTAACCATTAATAAATTAGCTTTGCTGTGATGGATGTGGAGACCTTTAGCAGTTACATGAAACTGTGATGTGGAAAATGAATGTGGATTTGTTTTTTGTTTGTTCTAAAGGGTTTTGCTTCAAGTGTCACCATAGCAACATGAATTATAGAAATCTGATATTTGTTGAAATGTCTCAGGATTATATTTACAAAACCACATTGTCTTCTGTTTTTCTGCATCTCTAACTTAATTTGTCTATTATCATTTTTATTATTTAAGGTATCATCTAAGGTATTTAAGGTGGTATTATGTCATTGTTTTGTATAATATAAGAGGGAATACCATTAAGTACATAAAGCTGTATCTTATAGAAAGCATATTTTATTAATACCTTTTTGACAGTGTTAGTAGCATGACTTACAGTATCGATACAAGTACTGACCATAGCACCAAAATCAATCATCCACGTGCATACTGCAGGTACAGTTGATTCTAAAAAAAGAAAAGAAAAAAGAAAACATCTTTGGATAAAGCCAGGTGAACAAACACTCTGTTTCTCTATTTAATACAATGCCCACTCAATAATTTGTACACAGTTTAGAGTTCAAGTATAATTATTAAAAATACACTTATAAGTTACATATTATAATGGTTATTGAAAAAACAAACAAACAGGATTACCTTTCTACTAATGGCACATAGTGCATCAAGTACTCTTTAAATTTCTGATACAGACCTCATAGAACAATTGACCGTCACTAACACTCTTTGAATGACAGTCAAAGGTTTTCTAGCTGCTCATTTATTCTTTTTTTCTTTTTTTCAGCCGTCACTTCCAATAAAAAAAGGCTGCAGTCTCGGGACACAAAAAAAGTCTGCATCTACCTTCCAACTTTGGTTAAAGCGCAACATACCGGGTAAGTACCAGGATGTACTCATAGGATTGTAGTTATTGGTGCAGCGGACATAGTTATGATGAGTTTGCCTGAAATGATCATGCTGCTGTCTGTTAGTGTGGAGTGAAACCGTGTGGTTCAAACCTGTGGTTCCTTCTTCAGCTCAGAGGTAATTGCAGTAGTTTAGAAGCACAAGTTCATAAGTTCTCTCTGAAGGTTAGTGGTTACAGGCGACCATCGCTGACTAATACCGTTTTAGCGAAGCAGGCGACAACACCAGACGGCGGCTTCTATCTAGTGACCGCACATTAACAAATATGTATCTACAATACAATACAGAATAAATATGGTCAGACATAAATACATTACATACGTATGTACGTATGTACGTACGTATCTCAGTAGAACATAGAGGTTTGTGAGAGGTAGGAGTTGGAGCACCTTCAGTGGACGTCCAACTCAAGATACTGACACTGTGTCACGGTGTAGGAGATGACGTTAACCAAAAAAAAAACAGGGCCGTTACAATTACATCTTAATCCGATTAATTATTCTGTGGATAGAATAGAGTAAATGATTCAATTGTATCCTCAAAAATCTGTTTTTTTAGGGCCTAGTTTGTGTTTGAACTCCTAATATCAATAGTTCTTTTAAGTACAAAATCTTCCTGTGAATTTAACACTGGTATGATGAACATAACTTCATGTCGTCAGGCAGTAAAAGTTGACGTAGGTCAAAACACACTGTCCCAACAGTTTGAGCCGATGCTGATTGAACCAACAACTGTTTACAGTTGCAGTATTTTTCATGAAGTATTTAGTGTAACATTTTAAATCTGCGGAGTACAGCGATACTGTTTAGTGAAAAGTTTAACACTGCTGCCACAAATACAAATAGTATTATACGTGGTCGTGGATGGAAGGTTAATGTTTGAATCAACAGAGTCCCTCGCCTTCAGTATTAGCTTCAAAATAAAAATGTAAAGAGCAAAACGTTGCTCAAGTTATTGTGCAACAGGTTTAGTTTACTGGTTTAGAGCCCAGTGTAGATACTGATGGCCAGTATCTACACACTCTAGCAAGGTGGCAGGTGGTTGACTTTTTGACTGCAGTCCACAATCATGCAGATTAAGGATCAGGTGCAACTGGGATTAACCTAGCATATCCTGCTTACCAGTTACAGAAAAATAACACTTGAAGTTTCGATCTCTGGCTTCCGTTCAGAGTTGGATGAAAACCACGGTGTAGGTGGCGTAGCATTGCACAGTTCGTAATGTCTTCTGTGGAGTAGCTGCCGTGAAGGAGTGGTGTTACCTGTGGGAAATGAGAATGGTTCCATGCACTTTCACTGCTGCCACAGTAGTGGATTACAGTCCCAAACAGATTACTGCTGCTGAATATTCCCTCTCTCCTTTCAGCAGAAAAGATTTAGTGGTTTGGTCTCCGCGTGGCCTTCAGTGGACTTCAAGGAAGAGGCCGTTATGACCCTGGGGAATGCACTTCCCACAGAAACCACCACAGCGACCATAGATTCTTGTCCCATCCTACGAGTGGAGAGAAGTGAGAGGACAGAGAGGGTGAGTGGGCAAAGGGCAGCTTTTAGGCTCAAAGAATAAAAGCTTCAGTAATGTCACGGAGGGATTCCTGTCTGGTGACTCAGCTGGAAGCTACAAGTAATGACATTTGAGAGGAAGCGTGACTCCAGAAAGTCGATGAATTTGTTTAAACTCCACATTCACAGTAAAAACCACGGTATCAAGGATATTAAGGTGTCCTCTTACCTCAGATCTGTGGACTTTGACGGAAACGTAGTTGCCCTGAGACGTCCACTTGTTGGACTCGGACACTTTGAGTCCAGTGCCGATCAAATTAATGCTGAACTGGCCCTGAGAAAATACACAATACATAATCTTAACAACTTCTTTTTACAGGGAAACTGCAGGTTAAAAAAGTGTCTCACAGTCCACATGCGGCCCAGGTACTCAACCAGAGTGGCCCAGTCCCCGTCATTAAGACATTAAGAAACATATAGAAAAACTGAGAAAATTGTACTTGGAGAGCAATCCAGAGTTTGTAAATTATAACAGGCAACAAATTCAACACTGTGTGTAGCCTAGCAACAATACACAACACACCATTCACCATAAAGCAACATATCCCTCTTAAAGCGGGGTACAATTATCAGTTTAACCCTGAGTGGATGGAAAAAAATTATACACATTATATATATATATATATATATACATATATATACACATATATACATACATATACGTATACACATATACATGCATATATGCATATATACATATATACATATATATATATACATATATATACACATATATACATACATATACGTATACACATATACATGCATATATGCATATATACATATATATATATATATATGTATATATGTATATATGCATATATGCATGTATATGTGTATACGTATATGTATGTATATATGTGTATATATATGTATATATATATATATATATATACATATATATATATATATATGTATGTATATATTCTAAATTAGAACAGGCAACAAATTCAACACTGCTTGTAGCCTAGCAACAATCCACAACACATCATTCACCATAATATATATAATACATATTGTACGCAAATTGTTTAATTTGTTAATATTGAATTTGTAACATATTTTAAAAAATAAATGAAGAAAAAACAATCAATAATTAAGAGTAACCTGGGCAATAAACTAAAATGTATTTGTTCAATTTCCAATCAGACCTTTCAGGTACAGATGTTATATAATGTTTCTCAATAAATGTAAATGATTTTTGTAGCTACTATTATTGATAAGCCACCAAAACAGTTTGGTCAAAACTTTGGTGGTTTGAAATTCAAATAAATTGCCTGAAACGCTGTGGGCTAAAATGATTTTTGAGAAAAAGTTAAGTTTTTATCTCTAAACCTTCAAACATGACTAAACCATGATGGACTGTAAAGCTTGGATGTACCGTTACTTACTGACCTGTGGGCACTTGGCTGCACTGTAACAATCTCCTGCTGTAGCAAAGGGCACAGGTCGTCCAAGAAGAGTCTGGGAAAACTGGAGATCCGTGACTGCTAAAGAAAAAAGACACAAGTTGGACGTCAACAGAGAATGGAAGCAGCTGCGGTAAAATAAACAAACACACTGATAGTCAGAGAAGAGCAGCAGACCTAATTTATAACAAATAATAAAGCTTGCTTTAAAGTCGAGCTGCCACATGTGTGTTTAATGTTTCTAAATAACCTTTCAATCCGTAAAGTAGAGTACACTTTAGTTTAAATCTGAAAAAAGAAACAACATTCTTTTTAAAAAAAAATCTTTTAATTTAAATTCTGGAATGCAATTTCTTTTTTTTTAGTTTGAAACACCACATGCTGCAGTGTTTTAAATAGCAGATATCAGCACAAATAATGTTGTGCTTTCTTAGTTTTCTTAAAATATTTTTTACCAACGCTTCTATATGGTACATAGAATTGCCATGGATATTATTTCATCCTGCCGTTCCTCTGACAATAATCGGGAGATGCACAGGGAAACACTGGACCAGGGCTTTTTCATAACTAACTAACATCATCTTAAACTCATTAGCTCCACCCCCCCATCTTGAAGCCAAATGAACAGCATGCAGAGGGAGGGGAGGGGGTGCAGAACATGTGGAGCCAGGGCCTAAATCAGAGGAGGACGATGGGAGGATGACTGTGTAATTTCTAATCCAACTTCCCTTCCATGAGCACACACAAACACATGTACACACTAATCAAAGGCATATTAGTTACAACAGTGAAGGTGGAGCTAAGTGTTTTAATGATCAGAGAACTGTGGCCTGAATGAGTGTGTGTGTGTGTGTGTGTGTGTGTGAATACATAAGGATGCTGATTATTCACAAGTCAGTTTGACAACATGATGCATGTGTGTATCTCCCTGTATGAGTGCATGTGTTCCTCCATTAAATACATTGTGTGTCTGAGAGTCACTGAGGGCTTGTACATCCCATCATTGCCATGCTCTGGTCTGTGACGCCCTCTACCAAGACCATGCCCCGTGATGAGAACATGGAGCAAGGTCTTTAGAGAGAAGAGTACGAGACAGGAGCCAGCGCTGCAGAGGTGTGTGAGGGTTTAAGCTACAACGATGTGTGGTCTCATTACTGTGGATGGTGACAGATAATTACTCACTCATTATTCTCAGGGAGCTCAGGTCCAGACGGATTTTGTGGAAGAGTGTGTAGCCCGCTGCAGAGTAGTCGTTCTTACAGTCGCAGTCTTGCCTTCGGCTGCCGTTGAACGGGCATTCAAAAGGATTCAGCAGCCTTTGAAAAGAAAGACACTCGTGTTACATAATCCTACATGAGGTTTCAGCACATCTGTCATCAGCCCATCGTACCCACCTGTATCCATACACCTCAGAGAAGTTGTCTGTCTGACCGCTCCGCAGGGTCACGTACTCCTTGGGGAAGTCAGTCTGCATTTCTGCACAATAAATCTGAAGACAAAAGACATCAGGTTAGAGAAGGTTGTCAGATGAGTCATGATGTCTGAGCGTGACAGGTCACACATACACACACCTGCAGTATGCGGGACCTGACTTTGAGATAGTACTCGCCATCTATCCTCACACCCAGTCTCATCTGGACCTCTCTGCAGGAAGTGAACGATTGACCTAGGAGAAGAAATATGACGTTACTGGGAGACATGGACATGGACATCCTTTATCTTTGAAACACCTTTGAGCCTTTTCCACAAGTTATTCAAAATGATGGTTAGATAGCAGAAAATGCAAGGAAGATATTATTCTGAGATTATTCTAAAGTCTGCAACTCTCATCTACTGCCGTGTCCTGGCAGCACGTCTGCACTCTGATCAATGTTTAAACATTTTATTGGCTTCTCTGCTGCACCAGTGTGAGGCAGAGGTCACAGGATGCTGATGAACTGAATTAGCATTAATACTTAACTACAGAACTGGCCGTCGTCCCAGCTTCTCATTTTAATTTTGTTAGCGCCTGACTTGGCAAACGTTTAGCAGGATAAACAGTCCAGTGGGCCAGAACTACAACATCTGAAACACGGAGATGTGAACTGAAGACCTCGGTCAGGTGCCAACTTTTGTATGGCCTGTTAAATCCATGAATTAATTCAAATAGCCCTGAGGCATTTAGAAAGACTGCACATAAGAGGCAATATGCAGAAAAGTGCTGATGTTCTATTTATTGTTCCACAAGTTAATTACTCTGAGGTTCTAAATGGCTGTTCTGGCTGATGTGCTGTAACAAAACAAAACCTTCAGTTTAAACAAACACAATCAGAAACGGCTTTGGTTTTCATAAACTGTACAGTCAATTTGATACTATAGACTGATTTCTGTTCTAGCAGCAAGGCCTGATACCTATGGAGGAGAGGAAGAAAGGAAGGAGAGGAGATGAGAGTAGATGGAAAAGGGGACACAAAGGAGAGGAGGATAGTAAAGGTAAGACAAGGCAAAAGATAAAAAAGAGAGGTGATAGGAGAGGAGAAAAGAGCTTACATTCTCCTTCTTGACATGCAGCCTTTGATTCAGGTCTCTCTGTTGGACGGCAATGTTTGGACGGATGACCTTTAGACGTCACACACTCAACAATGCGCTCCATCACTCCTGCCCCACAGGTTTGAGAGCACTGTCACACACAAACGCACGCATGCATAAAAACATGTAAACAAATAGTCTCAGGTCATTAAAGTGCTGATGTGAATAAAGTAATGAACTGAGGCATCATTCATTCTGCTAAACACGCTTTTGGTCTTTTACCTTACTCCATGGGCCAACTTTCCAGTAGGTGGCATGCAGGCAGTCTCTGAGCAGGCATGGCTGGGTGCCAACAGGGTGAGGCTCACGGCAGTGGGTGATGGAGGAGGACGACTGGGCAGGAGTGTACGGGTTTCCAGCTCTGGAGGATGGAACCACGGAGCAGGAAACGATACGTTGTTGGTGACCAACACCACAGCTCGCAGAGCACTGATACACACAAGTACACAGATACACACATGTACAGTTATTATACTGAGAGACCGTGGGTAAACATATGTAATCATGTAAACATACCTGACAGTGATGTAATAATCATGGTTTGCGTATTTGTGTATTGTTTTTGCTTTTTTTGTTACTATTTGGTTTACGGACACCCTTACATGCTTTTATATTTATATTTAAACATTTTAACAAACCACGTCAGCTAAACTTACATCTTTTACCTCATTAAAAGAATAGGTACAGTGAAAAAAATCTTCATAAAAAGTTTCATAACAGTGAAAGACTGTTATTTTTATTAGACTATTAGCTTATAAACACAGATGCGCTTGATGTCAGTCCAAAGATTGATTTTTTTTTTTTTTAAATCTAAGTAAGGGAAAAATATCAAATAACAAAGCCAAATTAAAATTAAAGACATGGCTAGGATTGGCCAAAGTATTAAGATAAAAAAAAACACCCCAATGTTGCCCAACAAAAGCTAAAATTGACCAGGGAGATAGATAGAATGAGCCTATTACTGGAAATTTTGACCCAAAACACAGAAATTGTGCAGTGTATTTTTTCACCCATGTTAAATATTTCACATAGAGAAAAAATAAATATTGAATATTCAACACTTGGTGTACAGCTTAATTTTTTCTTACCTGTGACCATTCCCCAGTGATCCATGTGTATTTGCAGGGAACTCCCTGACAGTGTTGGTGTGATACGGGCTGGGAGGCGGGCTCGCAGTATTCCTCCAGCACGGCTGTCATACCTGGGCCCACACAGCCCACCTTTCTGGTTCTAAAGCCATCTCCACAGGTCGCGTTACACTGGAGGAAAATTTTCAACAGGAGAAAAAGTCAGTTAGGCTACAGTGGAGTTGACAGAGGGGGGGCAGTGTTGTTCTTTCATTACAGTCACTGAGCTCCCAGACTCTGCTTTGAAGGTTCTCTTAAGTTCACCAGACGGCCACACATACAGATATAGTCACATATAAAGCTTTGAATGAGTGAATAAAAAGTGAGTCAATGTTTCAAGAAAACCCATGTATTATCTCTGGTAAAGTCATTAAAAAATGCCAATGTTAGTACCAGGTTTCCTTTTTGTCTGAGCATTTATGGAGTGTTTAAACGTAATTATAACAATTCCAATAATAAAAGTATAGGTGGGACATAAAGCTGTGTTGAGACTAAAATCTAAAAAGTAAGTGAAAGCAGCAGGAGGAGATAGGGTCTATTTAATTCCTCAGCTGAGGACCAAGCACGAAACATCAAAGATAGATGGACCAAACAAAGGCTTCCTGGCGTGACAGAGAACAGAGATATTTAGCAGCAGCCGATGATAAGAGCCATCGCGACTTTGAGGTTTGATACAACCTGAAATACTGACTGATGCTTATCAGTGGGGCCCACACAAGTGACGCAAGACAGCGCCCGCAGGTAGACCGTTTAATGGTGTGCAGAGATAAAGTAAGCAGAAAGAGTAGCCAATAAAAACCTTAAACAGCCTCACCACGTCCTCCCAGCAGGGGCATGGGAGCGATGAAAAAGGAGTGGAGCTGTAAAAAAAAAAAAAAAGAAAAGAAAAAGCCGGAGAAAGAAAAGAATTGACTTACTTTTTCCCATTCATCGACAACCCAAGAGTAATGCGTACACTCTGTAGTTTGGCACGGCTGGGTAACAGCTGGGCGCTGGTGAGCGTTGCAGAGATCCTCTCGAACCCGCCCAGTGCCTTTTAGCCTGCAGTAAATGTCTCTGGTCTGAACCCCAGCTCCACAGGTGACAGAACACTAGTAAAACAGACACACAACACGTCCTCCATCAGAAACTAAACTCGTCTACAACATGTGTTTTCTTGTGTTTCATGTAAGAAGACAGCTGCGAGAATGTAGTCGTCTGAGAGACTAATGACTATATTCAGGGAATTCCAATGGATTGAACACAAGAAGCTAAATTTACTTGTCAGCGGTGAAACTGAATTCCAACATTTTATGGAAAAACAAAAAAAAAAAAGGAAATGATGATAGCAGAGTACATCAATCATTCATTTTGTAGAATACATGACTGTATACTTAGTGAGCAAGACATTCTCATAAATCAGGGAAATCCTCAAAAATTCCCCATGACAAGGAATTAATGTTTGTGTTATCAATGAAACGCTGCCCTCTGCTGCTTTTTTGTTGATTTTGTATTTTTAGTACAAAATACAGTGTAAATAGCAGTAATAAGTAGTTAGGGGAAACTCTTAAGGAAGAAGAAAAAAATCATGTGAAGTTGTATTAACTGTTTAATTAGCTCCCTCTACAGGTATGGTTGTAAAGCTGCCTATTGTTTGTTAAATAAGAGAAGGAGAAATTGGTATGGATTGGCATTTTAAACACAAATATTAGGAAAGCATCAAAACCAAAAATGAAAGTACTTATATAGTACAGTACGTATATTTGGACCCAGAACCACATTTTTAGACATGTCTCTCTAAGACGGCATGCATTATGTGATGGTGATGCACACGTTGATTTTGCATAACTGAACTAGGATCAGCCGCAGGGTCCTCCATCCCACCAGATAAAGGAAGGGGGGGGGGGGGGGGGTGAATCCAGTGGTTCCTTGTAGGCCATATATCGTGGGTCACACAGAGGTCTAATCTCTGCCATCTCTTTGATGTGCTCTGAGCATACCTGCATACTGAGGAAGCACTTTGTACGGCTTGAGCTGATCAGGCTGATTTCTCTCTCACCCCCTCACACCTCCACCCCCCACCCCTGATCAGACCTCTAAGAACATGCTCTGAGCTTGAGTTAATTCACACAGCTGGAAAATCTGCACAATACACAGCAAAGCTTGGGTTTCCTGAAACCTTCCAGATGTATTTGGCTCTCAGTTCCTAACTGCAATTATACAGCACGTTATCCTCAAGGAGGGTGTGGTTGGGGGTTAAAGGGTCAAATGCAACAGAGAAAAACTAATCTTGAATTCACGTGACATATTTTATTATGAAATCTTAAAAAAGAGCCTGATGTTGAAGGGCTCGGTGAAGAAATGACCTGAAACACATGAGATCAGGAGACTGGAACAGTGACACAATGAGGGGAACGCAAGGGGACCAGTTGTAAAATGTTTCCTCACTCAATTTGTGAGTGACATTGTTGGCATATCTGCTTGTATTCATTTCACTAAGTGCCACAGTTGAACTATCAAACTGTCAAACCGAGATTGGTCACACAGTATCACACTTCCATTGGCAACAGCATTGCTAAGTAATCGTCAATAAAAAAATAAGCTTCACCAACACGCTATGTACAATACGTGGATGGATGTTAAGATATAAAACATGCTTTTCTTCTGTAGGGATTTCATGGTTGCTGGTGGTATATGTGTGCGGAGGAAAATAATTGTTTCCAGATACTATAGGATGAAGAGGGGATTGGATTGAGTTAGGCGACGGTCTGTTCCAGAGGTTTGCAACTTGTAGCTCCTGAGCCACATGCTGCTCTTCAGCTTCTTGTGCTGGCTGCATGTTGAACAACATTAAATATTTGCAAATGGACCCAGTTCAATCCAACGGAAAACATTAATAACTAATATGTCCAATCTGACAGGTAGCAGTGCTCCCTGCTTTGTCTGCAGTGACTGACTTTTCTGTATCTGTGACTGTCAAATACTGTAATGTTTTCACGTTTCAACGTTTTGAGATAATTATGCATAATTAGCAAAAAACATGTAAATAAAAATTTATTACTTATATAACAGGTTGTTGCTAACAAAACAACATAATGTCACTGTTCTTTTCCAATTTGCTACACTGACCCATAGCCCAATCTTTTTACCGCTTGGCTACGAGCTGTGACACAATTTGTTTTTCATGATGAATTCCTCTGATTCTGCAGAGAGTATACATCTTCTTCAAGATATATTAAAAAAAGAAAAAGACGCCTTGATAGTCACTTAAAGGGAATTGATTTACCATTCCTTAATGACTTGAGTTAAAACATTGTGATAAATTTCCCTTTATGACCTCAACATGACTCTAGGTCTAAACTGCATGGCGGGTTTATGCACAGCCTCTAACCAGCAGATACCCTGGCTGTCTGGTTGGCTCCACCATGACTGTGACCTCAACACCCCCCAGTGACTCCTCCATGCATTTCCTTTTCCTTTTTTTCCCCGTCTTTTTCCTCTCCTCCGTCTGGTTGCACTCATGCACTTGGAGATCAGAAACCTGTGTTTCTTCAGGACATTTGTCCTCTATAGAGACCATGCTTTCATCTGTAAGAGAGGCCCAGCTGCATATTCTGATTCTCTAGTTTTCATTTACGCTAATTCATTGTGCATTTGAACCAGCAGACATGTCCTTAATTACATTTAAGTAAAGAGTATTTGCTGCGTCATGCAACAATTGGAATAAATGTGTCTCTGGTCAGTGTGTGGTCTGAAGAATGCAACCAAAAATCACAGAGTAACTCCACCACAGTTTCTCTGTTCAATTATTTGTGCTGCAGTATTTATACAGGACACATGAATGTGCAGTGTACTTTATAAACAACGGTGCATTTCGAGCCTGCGGTGTTTAGTGCTCACTTAAGACATAATGGCAGATAACACTCGAAGAAGAATAAACTGTGCGGTGATTGGACAGGTGCTCTGTGTGTACACGTCCTACATCTGCGGCCCTCAGGAAACCTCCAGTCATGTTTGTGTTTGTGTCTCAGCTGCAGGCAGAACAGTTACTGTTCTAAAGGCTACTCTGTGAGCAAGGAAATACAGTGAGAAGAGCAAACATACCTCCCCCCACTTGTTGACTTTCCACATGGGGCATCCCGACGCCCGGCAGGCTTTCTGTGATCGCGGCCGCGGCAGATGACTGCAGTGCTGGTCCTCCACTTTGGTTTGGTTCTGGAGAACACAGGTGATCTCCCTTCTCTTGGTCCCTCGACCGCAAGTTACTGAACACTGAAAAAAAAGGGACAGGTGCAAAAGAGTTAAATTAAAAAGTCATCATTTTATAATACAAGTCTGTTATTCACTTCATCATTGGTAAGAGTGTTTATAAAGAACATTATAAAAATTATTTTCCAATTAGAGGAAACTTTCATTCCAACAAAGTAGATTTTTCACTTAGAATAACTAATTTTATTTGACAATAGAAATTCAAACCGATTATTGGTATCTGGTATTCATCTCAGGTATGTATCATTACTTCCATTTCCTATCCACAGTCTCCACAGGAAAAAAACTTGACCCTATAACCTTCTCTGCACTATTTTGGAAAGACCTTATTGTCATAGTTTGTCTTCAAACACAACATGCATTTTCTGCTCCAACCCAAACAGGATTTAATGCACAAACACAATCATCCAGGAGCTACTCCCAAGGCACGTCACAGTCAACTGAACACACTGCAAACTAATGTTAGCTCAATAGCCGAAATGGACTTCACCAGAACCTCGGTCAAACACTTAAATGGAAATGGAATGCAGCTGAGTATTTAACCTGTAAACATAGGGATTACTTTTACTGCCTCTGTGAACTGCTCAGGCCACAGAACGTGGAGGCAAAAAGATGCAGAGCAATGCAGCAACGCATGACCGTGGCTGGAAAATCATCTGGAACTAATGAAAAATCTAGGAATTCTTAAGGAGAGCTTGAGAGACGACAATGAACGAGGGGAAAAAAAGGCATGATGAATACAAGCCAGGCACATAAGAGAGAGCACATAAAAGGAGAAAAATATCTCATACTGAACAACGATATTGGCGCCCCCTATATTTTACTATTGGAGCCCATTGAGGAAGTTTAATGTTTGGGTTGTCTGTCATCTGAGATCACCAAACAAACAAGTCGTCTGTCTTGTTATTTGGAATAGTTCTGACTCCAGATGACTTTCCTCAAACCTCCAGTAGCTCTCTCTATATCTCCTTGGAAGTAAGTATTTTAAAATGAGACGAAGTACATTTTACTTCAGCATTTCTAATAGCACAGCACAGCACCGCGAGAGAAGCTAAATCACTGAAACATTATAAAAACCCGATTAATTTTCATTTTTAAACAAGTAATCTCCTGTCCTTTCCTGTGGTGCAGTGTGGCAGTGGCGTGTACACACACACACAGACAGACACACATCACACACTGTAATTACTAAGGCATTTTAAACACAAGGCCGGCTCAGCTGACAGAACATCAAAGCTGAGGCCGAGGTCTGAGTGACTCTTCCTGACTACGGGCAGATTCTCAAACCCGCTGCACACTCACACAAAAATGATAAGAGAACCCGGTCCACCTCAGACAAAAGCAGAGGCAGACTAACGTGCTGGGGGTAGTTGTGGACTGCTGGCCCCTCCTTACTGCTGTAAAAGGAGGAAAAAAAAAAAGAGGGTGGGAAAAAAAAAGAGGAGAATAAAGAAAATCACAGCCATACGGGCTGCACTCCCCGGGTGAAGGGTATCTGTGTTTTTAACGGTGACAAAGTAGAATCTATGTGGCGACGTGCTCCTCCCTCCACCCTGCCTCATCTGTCCGTCATCAGTTAATCAGAGCTGCAGCGACAGCCCACATAGAGCTGGCACAAGGAGCTGGACCGAAGGAGAGCTTCACCTCTGAGAGCAAGGAGAGGGCAGAGGCTCCGAGACCTCGGTTCACTGAACTACAGCTGAGCTGCTGCACTCACCGGGACTCACTCAGGTCAGACTGTTACCATCTCATACCTAGCTGCTCTCTGTTAATGTTGAAATGGTGTAATCTGTGTGTGTGCTGAGTGTGTTTTTGTACCTTTTTGCTTAGACATTGACGTTTTTATGATGTACTTTCTTTGTGAGCCAGAACATGTCGTGTGTGTGTTTTTTTCATATGAAGTATATAAATCATTGATTAAACACTCTGCTCCTTTACCCTCCCACTCTGCCCCAGCCATTAACGTCACAAGATTTAACTGCTTAAGTCTGGATTAATCCATTTGGGGTTTGTCTTACATAATTACTACAAAATGTAGTAACTTTTAACACAATTTGTGATTTATATTTGGCCCAAAATTAAAAAGAAATGGTTGTAAGCCAGTGGAACAAATATTGTAATGTAGGAGTACACATCATGACTTTAAATATAAGGAAGTGAAGAAAAAAAAATAGATATAATCTTCTCTGCAATTTAGTAATAAAAATGTATAATAAAATAGGTTTGAGTCAAGACCCAGACTTGTTCAGAAACTCTGTCTTTGTCTAGGACAAGCAGACGCCAACCTTGAGATAACTCCACCCACTGCATGACTGGACACAGGTAAGCCAATAGGAACACATGGAACCAGTTAAGCATCTGAAAGAAACTCAACCTGAGCTTAAATTTCTGTCATTCAGCCAGTAAGACAGAACACAGGTAACACTGAGCTCAGCTTCACGCAGAGAGACAAAAAACAATCTTCGGTGTAAAAGTACTAAAAAAAAAAAAAGTGTGTGAACTATATCTGCAAAGTAAAATTGTTTTCATCAAATATTCTATGATTGAAGCAGATAAAGTATATAGTTTTTTAATAGTCCTAATAGAGCTCTTGCACTATAATATGATTAGGTGATAGGTGATTTTTTAACTACACATTTGTGTTAAACATTTCTTAGACAGCCTCTAAACAGGACCATATCCTAAAATGTGAGAGCCAAGGTCGAATTCCAGTCACATTGCAGCACACCAGCAACAGAAAGAGGATGGTAATTCCAAGCATATGGTGACTGAACTTACACAGACTGTTCAAAAGAACTGAGCTCCGACCTGGAGCAAGAACAAACTTGCAAGTGTACACCGTGTGAAGGGAGTGTTGAGTTATACCCTTGACTACACGATGTCAAGGGCGCGCGAGAAGCTGCCTGCTCCTTATAAAGTCAGAGTAATGGCCGTGACCAGGATTATCTATGCAGAAATTAGAACTATTTACTGCTAGGAAACGGCGATAATAGCACAGATACTGTCAGTGATATCACTGAGCATATTAAGGTGATGATCAGAGGAGGGGAAGGGGGAGGGGGGGGGAGGGATAGGAGGAAGTATGTCAGAGAGTCAGGGAACATCCAGACTGTTTCTCAGCTCTGTTCTCTTCTGTTCTTGTTTTGCAAGAAGTCAAAACAACACATGTTGTCAGCATGAGAACAGCTGGTGTGAGCGACGTCATGGGGCAGAGGAATGTCAAAAGTCATAGATCTTTTATCCACCAGGCCAGAATAGCCACACAGCTACAGACATTCTAAAGCAGCAGACTTCAGAATGAGTCCAGCAAGAACCAAAAAAAAAAAAAAAGCAGCGCAAATTCAAAGTGTTTCCAAATGCAAAATATTAGGTTTCACAGTAAAGTCTCCACAGCTAATGATTAATCTCAGATGAGACAAGTTGATTTTTTCTTTATTATTCCTTCCAAGATGTACTTGATTATATGTGGGAAAGATTTCCTTACACTCCCAGCAATGACTGAGGCTGATAATGGACACCTGGTTGGTTCAAACTAAACAACACATCCTCAACTTGATGCCAAAGTGTGTCCAAAGAGTTAAATAAACACCTGGTGGAGTAGGCATATACAGTTTCCTCAGCAGAGTTTCCTTTTTAAGTCAACACAACTCAGAAAAGATACACCAAGCAATCATATATCAAAACCAAATGACAAAACTAGAAAGTTTTTCCTCTCGTTTAAATATTCCACTCGAAACCTTTTCCATTACCATATGGTACTGAAACATCCGTGCATCAACACTACACAGTAGATGGACAAAATATTAGGGATTGGCTGCATTAAATCATTAAAACAAAATAAAATAAATTCTCCATTAGGTACAGCTGACAAATACAAACAGCAGAGCAGCAGTAAAGTTATAAAGCAGTGACCTTTGACACAACACATCTCCCTCTTCCTGCTCAATGTCTCACAGCTGCTTTTTAAATCTGTCCTAGCAACCACTTTAACACAGTGTGCAAACAGCAAACAACTTGAAACTTTTTCCAAACTGAATGTTTGGATAATACATTTACGTTTATGCCAAAGGAGAAAACAAATGATGATACGGTTTAGAAATATTTTATCTATGATTAACTATGAAAATGTTTTCCCTCATCACAGCTGTAATGACGTATACAACAAATAATGACAGCATTAGCTAGCTGTACAGCTGATTGTTTCGGCATGTTAGTCTGTTTTTGGTTACAAATCAGAGTTTCTGTTATTCATTTTGAATTAGTGTAATATTTAAAAAACAGTTTAGCAGTCATGCGGAGGAGGAACATCAATAAAGTTTGAATAGAAAGAGTTTTTTTTTCTAATATATTCTAATATATTCTAATATTTATAGACAAGTATGAATACAGTAACCAAATAAAAGGTGTTTTTATTTTGTAGCAAGAAGCAAAGTGACAAGTGACCCACGTACAGACTGACACAGTGGAAACATCTATGGTCAACTGGCAGTGAGGCCAAGGTTAACCAGCTAGTTAACCTCTGCAAGTCTGACACGGTAAAATGCTAAAACCTCCAGATCAAAAAGAGCTCACGGTCAAATACTATGTAAAGAACAGGCAAGTTTTCACAAGTTCAAGATTCCATCAGGTTGACTAGTTATGAACAGCTGAAAAGTCGACAAGGCAAGAAAAGTCGACGGCAATGATTTCCAAAGTAGGGGGCGTGGGCCCAAGGGGACCATTGAGCTATTGACGGGATGGCCATGGCAAGTCAAATGAATGAGGTATTGTGTTTTTCAACGTTTTTGTGGCGATAGTAGTATGTTTGTTTTTATAATTCAATCTTATGTTTTAACAGTTTTGTTGCAATTACAGGGGGGGGCACATTCAACCTGCTTTCTACTGGTCTGACATATCACAGCCCTAGGTTACAGGCCCCTGGTCTAGGGTTTAAGTTCGTATCCTCATGCGAGATAAATATCTAGATCAATTGAGTTGAAGGCCTGTCTCCTACAGGCTTTTAA